CCTCCCCTCTTCCACTCTTTGTACGCTTTCTGTTTTTTCCTAATCGCCCCTTTGAGATGGTCGCTCATCCAGCTCGGTCTAAATCTCTTGCTTACTAACCGTTTTCCCTTTTTTGGGATACAGGCCTCCGACAGCTCCTGCAGCTTTAACTTAAAATAATCCCAGGCATCTTCTGCCAGAAGTGGGATTTGCAAAGCTGCCCTGGGGGTCCCTTCAGCAGGTTTGAACCTCAGCCAAGATTTATATTATCAGTCTAATGATAGGAATGTATATGGCCCATCATTGCACTTGTGACTAGGAGCAATTTTGTCAAAAAGACTTACAAAACGAGAGGAGTTGTCGTTCCTCACGGTCTTGGCATTACCAAAGGCCTCCAGCAGGGGGTTGGCACTGATGATTTGATCTTCAAGGGTCCCCTACAAAGTAACAATTATTGTCAAATTAAGGTTGTTTTAAACCACGTGGCAGTTTCAGAACAGAACATTTAATCCCATCCCTAATGACCAACTCACATGCATTTTGCCTGGCTCGTCCTTCTTCTTCTCCCCAGAAACTGCAATTGTTGCAAAGTACTGGATGACACGCTTTGTGTTCACAGTCTTTCCAGCACCGGATTCTCCACTGTCAAATCAAACAGAGAAGCAGAAAACACATAACCAAAAAGTTTCTTCCTGCAGTGCACAGCAAAGCCAGCAAAAAAATGGAGGAGGGAAATATACATACGTGATGAGGATCGACTGATTCTCCCGATCTGTGAAAGAGACAGAATCAAAGAGATTTTTAAAAGAGTTACTGTGTAACATTGAACTCACTGAAAACTGAGTGAAACAAATAAGTGCTGGGATTTGCAAAGGGGCCTCAGGGCATCAGGCAACAAACCAAAAGTCCATAAAAATTCGGCATCTACCTCCCTTAGGCCTCTTTGAAAATCCTAGCCATAATAAATAATAAATATAAACTTAAGCAGATCAATAGAGCCGTCGCAGGATACTTATACCCACTTCCCTGTCACAGAATTCCCTCTTACAGCAATTTGATGGAGCTATTTATATCTCTGGACAGCAAAGCGGTATACAGAATAATGACCTGATCCTCAATTTATAACCATCTGCATAGCACCAGTGCAAAAAGAGTGCAAAGTGTGTGTGAATTACCACTCAAGGTGTAAGGGAGTGAAGAATTCTGATGCACCACTTAGCACAAGTATAATTGACACACACGATGCAAAGTCAGGAAGAATCAGGCTTCCTGAGAACAGAGTGTCATGATTCTTCTTTGGGCCCAGCTAGAGCCAGAATGTGCAGAAGCAGATATGGACATTCTGTACTTTTTCCATTAACCACACGCTTGTGAACTTCCGAAAAGGTTTGCTTTGGGTTCTCTGAGAGCTGGGCTAATGTTTGGGTCAGGTTCAGTTTGTCTTTGGACGAATTTGTGTTTGCACATTGCTAGTTTTCAATGTTTTTGGTGTCTTTAGCTGCATGTCATATTTCCCGAAAGAACCTTGTGATTCCTCATATGAAATTTTCACTCTATAATCACTTTTCAAGCGTTGAGCCACTCACCGGTTAACATGAACTGATAGGCGTTGTCAGAGATGGAGAAGATGTGGGGAGGGGCCTCTTGACGCTTTTTGCCCCTGTAGGCAGACACAACTTCTGGGTTGTACACTGGCAGCCACTTGTAGGGGTTGACAGTGGCACAGAAGAGACCAGAGTAGGTCTGAAAGAAAGGGAGATAACGTGATTGGCTTCCACATGATTTAGTGTAGCTGTTAGTTTGGAAGTCCAGGAAAGACTTCGGCCTGTACTTACATAGATCATCCAGGCTGCATAACGCTCTTTGAGGTTATACAGGACGGCAGGTTCATGGAGATGGGTCATCATTGCCATGTCCTCGATTTTATCATATTTGGGAGGGTTCATGGGGAAGACTTGATCTTCCTTAACAGTCAAAGTCTGGAAGGAAAGAAGAGACCCATTTCTATCAGCTAAAAACAGAGGAGGAACAAAATGCTGTTCCTAACTCCTTGTTTTTACTCACTTCTCCTTTGTCAGTCTTGACTGTGACCTTCCCTCCTTCCCTGCTCTGGATTACGCTTTTCACATAGGATTCCTTGGAATGCACCACAAAGACCGATGTCTTAGCATCGAAAGGCTTGTTCTGGTCCTCAATTCTCTCCTTCTCTGTCTTTCGGAGGAAAGGAGCTGCCACCCCATAGGCGGCCATCTCAGCATCCGACGACATGGCTGCGGTTATCTAGGGCAGCTCAGCAGTGAGCTCTGATGGGGAGAAAATGTGTGACATTGACTCACATGCTGTTCATTTAGAATACTCTGCCATGTCAGTTTCTTACACTTGTTTAACTGGCCACATCACTCCCAACTGCCCCTCCTGAGATCTGAATGAGAGGCTTTCCCAGCCATTTAGATCCAGACTCTAATTTTGAGCCTCTATTATCACACTGTTAATTCTTTCCCTATTTATACCTTTCCTAACCATATCTATAGAACCAGAGGTCCTGCAGTTCCAGTGGGATGCACACCATTGTTCACCCACCCATTGCCAAAGGAACACCATTGTTTATAGGAACAATGTAAGTAGATCCCTACATGAGGGACCAGGAAGAGCCAAGAACATACCAGGAATTTTGAAAGCCCTCTTAGGTCCTCTTTCCTGGGTACATTTTAGACTGTGTTTTGTGGTTACAATGAAAGGGTTGTTGGGGGCACTGGAAAGTGGGCGTGGGGAGAGGGATGAGATAGAGGCTGCTATTGTCGGTGTTTTCTTGCATTGAATAATAAAGATAATGCTTTTGATGTAATTTAAGCTTTTCATTCAGGATTCCAATCCCATCTTATAAGTATGACCTCCCTTCTTTGTATTTGATTTTGTATTTGGCTATATTGAAACACAAGTTGTTCAAATGAGCTAAGCTTTATAAGTGATCCAATGTAGTCTGTATAACTGACCTGTCATCATCATTTACCACTTCACCAATTTTAGAGTCAATTGCAAACTTGAGCATTGATAAAGAGATTGGCTAGCATTGGGCCAAAAGCAGCTCCCCCTGAGCCTCCATTAGAAATCTGCCAATGGATGATGATCCTACATTTACAATCACTTCTTGAGATCTATCAGTTAACTAGTTTTTATTTCATAGTGCTTTTTTTGTTTTATCAGAATGTCATGTGGGACTAATTCAAATGCCTTATTGAAGTCGAAGTGTATTATTTGAACAGAGTAACTTTTATCAACCAAATTCATGATCTCCTATAAAAATCACGTTTGTTTAGCAAGATCTATTTTCCATGAGACCAGATTGATTGGAATTAATGAATCTTAATTAATTAATTATATTGCTTTACTGACTGCATTCCATACCAGCTTTTCCATGATTTTGCCTGGGATCAATGTTAGGCTAACCCATAGGTGCCGGAGCTAGGGGTGCAGGGGATGCTGCAGCACCCCCTGGCTTGAAGTGGTTTCAATCATATACAGGGTATACAATTTGGTTCATCGCTCTCACCACCCCCACTATACAAATTGTTCCAGCACCCCTGGGCTAACCAGGTCATCTTGTTTATCTTTTTTAAATATTGGCTTAACATTGGCTTTTTTTCATTTCTCTGGAATTACTCCAGTGTTCCAAGATTTGTTAAAAATCATCATTAGTGGTTCAGCCAATTCTTTTCATACATTTGGGTACAAGTCATCCAGTGTTGCAATTTAAGAATGGTTACTTTAATAGTTACTCTGTCTGCCTGCCTCTCCCATGCCAGTTAATCAAATATTATCAATATGCCATTACTCCTTTTATAGTTTCTTTATTTAACTATACAGTGCATTAATGGCACTGTCAGACTGGTCAAGATGTCCGTGTGAAAGGGCCACCAGCTGCCTTAAACGCTGCCTGAAATCCTCTTCTGAAGGCATTTTCACACATATAGATCTAAGTGCCACTCACTAAGCTACTCTGCGCAGTAAGAAATGAAAACTTGATTAGCATTTACCAGAGAAATGTGTCTCTCTTTCAGCTGGGGCACAATTATTGTCAGTCATGTTTGGGGTGTGGGGAAAAAGCAAATTCTGGATACGTGTTCATTAAAATAATAGATTTAGTCTCTGGATAAGTAATTAGATTCTATCTCCTGGTGGGTCTCCTCTTTTGGGCCACTCTGTCCTGGTTTATTAGGGACCTACGAGCTGGGGTGTCGGAGCTCACTGTGTACAATTACGTTGTGATGTGTGTATTCAGGAGAGGTATCTCAGAGAGGACACTTGCTGGCCCAGCATTAGTGGTCAGTGGCTTCAAGTCCAGCCACTTTAGAGACCTGCCTGTCACAGGCAACAGAGCCCAAGCGCAATATACAGTGCATTTACACAATGGACATAGATATTAGGGGATACAATGACTGCCTATTGAGCTATATAGAAATCCCACTCTAGAGGGTCACTCACCATCCCCTGGGAATTAGCAAATCAGGATCTTACCTCTTTCCTGATACCAGATGGATAGTATGCAGACTGGAAGCTGGTCAATATTCTAAAATAGAAATAGAAATTCCTTTCTTATTGCTGCATGAAACTCCAGTGATAAATTGGAGATTGAAAATGTATAGATGACTCGAAAAGTGAATTTAAAAGTCCTGCTGTCATACGCAATCCCTCCTGGAAATGAGTGCTAGCGGCAGCAGGAATGCAGTGGGATGTGTGGAATGCAGAGTGGGCTCCCCCTCCCTTCAAATCCAAGTCCCTTACACTCTTACCTTAGAGCTTTCTGTGACAGGACAAGACAGACTGGTCCCAGGGGCTTTTATAGGGTGTGAGCTGCAAACACAGCAGCCGCCTCCTCTTTCTTTGGTCAAAACATTTTTGGCAATCTTGTCTCCTAACATAATTCCCATTCATATTAGATGTGAATGGATATAATTAGCCATAGTTCTGTGAATCAATCTCCTATAAATACTTTAACAAGGGAGCTGGCAGGGGCAGTTGGGGAGGTGAAAGGGACTGCCTGGAGTTTGTGCTTTGTGCCTGAAATCAAGCAGAAGAAGAGAGACTGGGAAGAATCTAGTTCCTGTTATGGGAGACAGCTCCTAGCAGAGGGAGCAGGGAACGAGACAGAGAGGGGAGAGAGTTCCAGGGGCATGTAGCTGGAGAGAAAATTGGGGTCTCAGGGACAGGGATCTAGCAGTGGAAGAAGGTCCCTCAGTCTAGCAGGAGGGAGTCTGGGAATGGGGGCATAGCTGACAGGAGCAGGGGACCAGAGAGGATATGGATGTCTGGGGAACAAGGGGCCTGGAGGCTCAGGGATGGGGGAACAAAGAAGAACGGGGATCCTTGGGGCAGTGGGATAGGGAGAAGAAGTAAATCCAGGGCCAGAAGGGAGGGCAGTAAGTGCAAGGGAATAGCTAGGAAATGGGGGTCAGTGGAAGGGAAAGAGCAGAGAAATGGAAGTCCAGAGTCAAGAGACTGGAGCAGGAGTCCTGAAGAAGGAGGTCCCCACGTGAGTGAGTCCAAGGGGAAGGACCCTGGAGACGGTGTGGATGGGGAGTGTTAAATGGATGCAAAAATTAAACATTCTACTGGAAAGGGGCAAGGAACAGCTACCCCCAGACTGTGATAGGTAGCCAGATTCCACCACCCCTGATATGGGGAGGGTACATGCATCCCACATTGTTATGGAGGGAGCAGATGCATCCCAAACTGATATGGGAGAACAGGAGCACCCCACATTGATCTGGAGGGGGAGGTGCCTCCTGCTATTTTAGGGAGATCATGTGCATCCTCCCATTGTTGGTGGAGAGTCAGGTGCACCTCACATTGTTATGGAGGGGCATATGCCTTCCACACCATTCCTGGGTGCAGTGGGGTTCTGGGGCCACTTTTGCATACATCACAGAGTGACAGAGAGTCCCTCTCTTTCCCATCTGTCATTCCTCACTTTCTAGGCGCCAATTTCTATAATAAGCCAGGCAAACTGTTGTGTAACTGGGATCAGTGCCGGGAACCGTATCATAGTACCCAATATAGGGATCACTGCATACACCCCCATTAGTGCTTACAGCTTGGGCTGCACACCCCATTAGAGCTGCCTACCTAGATGTCCAGCTATGAGGTTGAGGAAATGCTTTCCTCCTTTGCTCCCAGTGAGCTGTCTGCCTGGTACAGCACAATAGTGCTGGAGGTGGGGGATGGGTCCTAGGAGCCCTGCAGAGGTCAAGTTTCACATTTGGCATAAATCCACCTTGAAAATGTGCAGAAGATATTGAGCTCCAAGAACTTAAAGCCTAAGAGCCAAATTCTCAGTGGGTGTAAATCAGCATTGCTTCATTGACTTCAATGGATTTATACCCGCTGAGAATCTGGGCCTAAAAATGCTGTAGGATTTCAGCCAGCATATCAGTCACTGTGAGCTGTCCTCACTCCTGTGCTGGAATGAAAATGATTAAAACCAAATGAAGCACATGTGTATCTCAGCACAAACATACTGCTGACACCACCGTAACGTTCACACACCTGCAGAAACCCTACTACTGGGTGAAATTCTTCGGTCAAAACTTTCTTTTAAAACAAAAAATTACTGTTTTCAAAGCCAAAACTTTCACAAAAACCTTTCTGTTTTTCAAAGTTTGCTGGTTTTTCTTCAAAACTGAACGTTTTGTAAAATTTCAAAGTTTGTTTTTTGGGGTTGTTTTCCTTCCTCCCTTAGCACTTTCCCCCTTTTTTTCTTGTGTTCCTTTTGCCACTGAATTCATTAGAATAAATTATATCTAGGAGTTGAGATTTTGGGGGTTTATTTATTTATTTGTTTGTTTGTTTTCTTTTCTGGAAAATTTCCACAAGAGCAAAAGGAAAAATTTACTGTAATTTTTTCCAAGTTGGAGAAGTTCTGAAAAATTACAGAGTAGGAAAAGGAAAAACTGCAGGGTGATAGGGAATTAAAACATTAAATGGTGGCACGGGAAGAACCTGGATACCATATTTTTTGTTGCATTAATGGCAAAAAATGAAATGTCATAAATTGGAAATTTCAGCTTTGTAAACTAAAATTTTCAAGATTTTTCTATAAAATATTTCAGAAAAAATCAAACTATTAAATATTGTTACATTTTGAACCCTGCAAAATGGAAACATCAAAATCTTTCACAAAACAGTATTTACATTTTTCAGCCAGCTCTCATCATCTCCCTGCTCTCTTCTGTATGCCCTCCAAACCTTCCTTCCAACATCACCTACACACAGCCACATACACCACTGCAGAGAGCCACAGGCCAAAGCCTCAAAGGGCTAGATTCACCAAAGTAGATAGGCATGTAAGTCTGGGTTTAGACTCCAAAGTCCCAGCTTTGGCTCCCACACAATCCACAAAACTCCTGCTGAACCCACCTAAACTCACTACATTTTTGCAGTGAAAGTTCCCTAGGCACCTATCTTTCTGGCACTGGGCACATGCATTGCTGCATCCTTCTAGGTGTCTGTCTCCCACCTAAGCCCCCAAATGATGCACCAGCCAGGGAAGACAGGTGGCTGGCCGCCTAAGGGCTTGTTTTCACTGTGGCACTTCTTCTTTCATATGGCTATATCAGGAGTAGCAGAATTTATTGCAGTAATGCCTCCTTCATATATATAAATTGGGCAGTATGTAGTGATATGTTCAGTGGTCTGTCATGGAGAACCACACTCACCGGGGAGTCCTTGATTTTCCATTTGTGCATTAGATATCCACATCTACCATGGTTGGTTCGAATTTAGTTCAGAGCTGACCAAGATGACCGTGGAAGGTCAAACCCAGGAACCTTCTGCATGGGAACTGGCACAAGGTACTTCTTTTTAAAGTCTTGTTTAGCCCAATCTGCTTTTCAAGCCTCCTTCTGATCATAGCCTGATTGCATGAGGCTAAACGAATGTTCCCAGAAAGGCTGGTGGGACTTAAGACATTGCGGTGGGGAGCGGCGTTGTTAAGATCTTGGTGGCTAGAAGGATATCTGTTTTCCTGGATTTACTGAGCTTCGCGGAATGTTGCAGCAGTTCGGCATATCGGCGGGGGAGCGATGTTAGACAGGACAGGTAGCCATGGTGTTGGAGTCGACTTAAGGGTTCCCATGATGCACCACATCACTGTATTTAGCTGGGTATCCACAAGTTGTGTGTGGCTGCATCTGCTCCTGTCAGGGTTCCCCCTCCACTCTGAACTCTGGGGTACAGATGTGAGAACCTGCATGAAAGACCCCCTAAGTTTATATTTTACCAACTTAGGTTAAAAACTTCCCCAAGGCACAAATTCATTTCCTTGTCCTTGGACGGTATTGCTGCCACCACCAAGTGATTTACACAAAAATTCAGGGAAGGGTCACTTGGACTCCCTATCCCCCCAAAAGATCCCCCCAAGCCCCTTCACCCCCTTTCCTGGGGAGACTTGAGAATAATATACCAACCAATTGCCTTAGCAATGTGAGTACAGACCAGACCCTTTGTCTACAGGACACTGAAAATCAATCAGGTTCTTAAAAGAAGAACTTTATTTAAAAAGAAAAAATAAAAGAATCACACCTGCAAAATCAGGATGGAAGGTAATTTACAGGGTAAATAAAAGATTTAAAACACAGAGGATTCCCCTCTGGCTCAGCTTCATAGTTACAAAAACAGGAATAAAACTACCTCTGTAGCATAGGAAAATTCACAAGCTAAAACAAAAGATAACCTAACACATTTCCTTGCCTTACTTACAATTTCTGTGATTTTAGATGGCATATTCCTGGTATATTTTCAGGAGATGTTGTACTTGCTTGGCTTCTCCCTCCATCCGGAGAGGGAACAACAGAGAGAGAGCCCAAACAAAACCTCCCCCCGCCCCAGTTTTGAAAGTATCTTCTTTCCTCATTGGTCCTTCTGGTCAGGTGCCAACTAGGTTATTTGAGTACTTAATCCCTTACAGGTAAGGCAATGAAGTACAGCTGCCAAGGAGGAATTTTATGCTTCCCTTCTCTCTATATTTATGACAGCTCTATACCAGCGCACAATATTCAGCTACTGAATATACAAATGGTATTGCAGATGTTCGCAACTCTGATGCTGATGCAACCCAGATTGTACCTGCTAGTTTCTGGATTATGTTGGCTCTTGTTTTTATCTTTGCAGCTACCTTGTCAAGATGATCATGGAAGGAGAGGGTGCAGTCGAGTTTCATTTCGAGATATGTTGGAGTGTAATCGTGTTGCACATTTTTACCACAGAAAGCTACTTTCAGTGTGTTTTTGGCACTCTTATTATCAAGATGAAATGCACTTACTATTGTTTTTCCAGGGTTTGGTTTGAGCCTCCATTTCCGGAAATATTGTTCCATATTTTGGAGGTCCTCAGTTAATGCTTTCTCAATGTCATGGAGGTTTGATGCTTGGATTGTCATGGCAAGATCATCTGCATATCCAAATTTTCGTGATTTAGTTGGAGGCATGTCACTTATGTATACTGTATATTAAAAAGTGTTGGCACAAGTACATAGCCTTGTGATAGCCCATTGTTTATGATACAGAGTGAGCTGGTCTTATTACCAAGGTACACCCACAGGCATCTCTTACTCAGCATGGTCCACAGCAGGTGGAGTGTTTGGTACCAAGGTATAATTTTAGCAAGTTACTACGGCAATGTAAATTATGCTGCTTAAGTTAGGTAAACTAAGTAACTTAAGTCAAGTAACCTACATTGACTTACTGTGGTGTCTACACTGCGCTGTGTCGATAGGAGACACTCTCCCATCAACTTAGCTTCTGCCTCTCGTTTAGGTGGATTACTGAAGTTGACGGGAGAGCACTCTCCAATTGATTTAGCGTGGCTTAACCAGACCTGCTAAATTGATGCCGCTGCATTGATGGCAGCAGTGCCGATTTAGCGCCGTAGTGAAGACAAGCCCTAAGTCACGTGTGGGACCTGGTCCGGAAGGTGTACTTGGAGGCCATCTATTGGATTGAGCCTTTCACATGAATTCACACCAAAGAGCTGGGGAGAGAGAAGGAGGACCTCCCTCATAGTTTTTAGTGGTTAGGGTGCACCACCCAGAATAGAGGAAATGCATCTGTCAAGTCTCCCCTCTGCCTGATGAGAAGGGATTTGAACAGGGATCTGCCATCTTTCAGGTGCATGCCCTAATCACTGGGTTGTGGGACAGTCTGACATGGGGATCCTACAATCTCTCCTGTAGAAGCTGTTACACTGTGGATAAATCATTTAAAAAAGTCACTGGAGCAGGGGGAGTGGATCCCAGGCCTCCCACATCCCAGGTGAGTGCTCTAACCACCAGGCTTTGGGGTCATTCTCATTCCTGTGCTCTCTCTCGCTTTCTCTGGCAGATCCCTGTTCAAATCCTTTCTCCGCTCAGGTGGTTGGAAGACATGAAGTCTCCCACATCCCAGGGGAGTGCCCTAACCACTGGGCTAAAGCTTATGATGGAAGTCATCCTCATCCCCCAGACCCTCCAGCTTCTTGTTAACAGTGTAGGCGCCTACCGTGAAGAGAAAGTTTGCAGCTGAGACTCCCAGGCAGAGCTAGGACCTCCCTGAAGCCTGGATTTAGGTACCTATCACTGAGAAAGGGGTGGGCTTAGCACACACCCCTCTTGTTGGCATCTCCCATTGGCTAGCTTAGGTGATGCCCTGCCTAGCATGCTGCCTTTTGTGATTCGCAGTCTAAGATGCCTGCAGTGATTTTCAAGGCACCTTTTGTGACTAGATATCCTGATTTTATAGGGACAGTCTCAATATTTGGGGCTTTGTCTTATATAGGCACCTATTACCCCCCAATCTCTGTCCTGATTTCTCATACTTGCTGTCTGGTCAGCCTAGTGCACTCAGGTCTCTATTCCTAGATGTATACATTTACATTTGGCTATATTAAAATATCTATTGTTTACTTGCTGTCAGTGACCTGTCCTCTTCATTATTTGTCATTCCCCCAATTTTTGTGTCATCTGTAAACTTTATCAGTGATGATTTTATGGTTTCTTCTAGGTCATTGATAAAAATGCTAAATAGTGCAGGGCCAAGAACCAATCTCTGTGGGATCCCACTGGAAACATACCTGCTCAAAAATGATGCCCTGTTTACAATTGCTTTTTGAGACCTGTCATTTAGCCAGTTGTGCGCAATGTTAATTTTATATCATTATAGTTTTTTTAAATCAAAATGTTGTGCTGTACCAAGTCAAATGCCTCACAGAAGTCTGACTATATTACGTCAACACTGGTACCTTTATCAACCAAACTCATAATCTCATTAAAAAAATAATCAAGTTAGTTTGACAAGAACATTGTCCATAAACCCATATCGATTGGCATTACTTATATTACTTTCCTTTAATTCTTTATGAATAAAGTCCTGTATCAGACACTCCATTATCTTGCCCAGGACTGATGTTAGGCTAAAAGGCCCATAATTACCTGGGTCATCCCATTACCCTTTTTAAATATTGGTACAAAATTAACTTTCTTCCAGTCTTCTGGAATTTCTGTTCCAAAGTATATTGAAAAATCAATATTAATGATCTAGTGAGAGCCTAAGTCAGCTCTCTTAAAACTCTTGGATGCAGGTTCTCCAGACCTGCTGATTTAAAATGTCTAGCTTTAGCAACAGCTGTTTAACATTCTTCTGAGTTACTATTGGAATGGAAATAGTGTTTCAGCATCATCATATGATGTGGCTACATATACAGAACAGAAATGTTTATTGAACACTTCTGCCTTTTCTATATTATTATTGACAATTCTACCATTTCCATCTAGTAATGGACCAATAACATTATTAGGATTCTTTTTGTTCCTAATATACTTTTTAAAACTCCTAATTGTCCTTAACACTCCTGGTCATAGATTTCTCTTCATGTCCTTTTGCTTCCTTATCAATTGCTAAATTCCTAGCTTCTGAGTTATATTCTTTACTATCAATTCTCCTTTCTTCCATTTGCTATATAATGAGTTTTTATTATTATTACTATTATTGTATAGACGCTTTAACTTCCTGTCTAAGCCAGATTTATTTTTTAACCAAAGTGTCTTTCTCTGTCAATTGTGGGATTGTGGCTTTTTGGGTATATACACCTCTACCTCGATATAACGCTGTCCTCGGGAGCCAAAAAATCTTACCGCGTTATAGGTGAAACCGCGTTATATCGAACTTGCTTTGATCCACCAGAGAGCGCAGCCCCGCCCACCAGGAGCACTGCTTTACTGTGTTATATCCAAATTCGTGTTATATCGGGTCGCGTTATATCGGGGTAGAGGCGTAGTAAAGTTTTCTTAAACAATTCCCAATTATCTTTCTGATTTTTCTGTTTAAATACTCTTTTTTACATATTTTGACTCATAATTATTTTCAGCTTTGTGGAACTGGCCTCTTTAAAGCACCAAGTATATATATTTCTGGTTTGAACTTTATTCTGCTTGCACATAACAAGTGTAATCAAATCATGATCACTTATACCTAAGCAATCGCTAAGTTTTAGTGCTGTGATCATTCCTCTTTATCTGTCAATATGAGGTCTGTGTTAGATGTAACACTTTTTGAGTTAGAAAATTGTCATATATAACATCTAAAAATTCCAAGGATATTTAAGTACTGGCCGCATAAGATCTCCAGCATATGTCACTCAGATTGCAGTCCTCCATGATCACACAGCTTTTTTTCCTACAGATTATAGATAAATGCTTAAGGAGACAGTATATATATATGTATATATATGTTAACAAAATCCTTTTTGTGTATAAATCAAAGTGTTTTGTATCTGTAAAATTTAGTGCTCTGAAAAGTTCTTTGTACTTAGGTTAAACCATAGCAGGTGACCAAAAGAAGTAATATATGCAGTCAATAATGGAATGTGTATAATCTATTACTCTGACTCCAATGACATGTGGATAATTGTATCTACATGTGACATTCTATACTTTGCGGGAGCGTACTCTAATCCCCATATTCCTCATTTTCATATAATCACGATCTTAAGCATGCCTTGTAAGGTATCGGGGAAAGGTCATGATCTGCTGAAAGTCATTTCTCTATCCATATATGTATATCATTAATGCATATGAAGTTATGAGAATTGTGTAGTATGGTTGTCACTAAAACATGCTGTAAATTGGGAAATCAGCCAGATATTAGCTCCCCAGAGGCAACAGCAAGGAAAGTAGCCAACACCCGGGTGGGGTGTCAATCAACCCATCAACAGCTATTGTCCAGAAAGGGAGCTACAATGCGATGACTCACCTGCATGAGGCCACACCAGGGGAATTGCTCAATCTTGCTTGGAGAGACTCAGCAATGCCCCCCAGACATGCCTGGACATGTGTTCTACAAGCACATGGACTGAAAGTATAAAACAGACAAAGTGGACACATACTGGCCCTTCTCCTGCCCCCACCTATGCTGCAAGCAACCAAGACACTGAGAAGAAGACAAGACTCCAACACAGGAGATTGTCCCAGGTTTAAGGAACAAGCCTGTATGTTAAGGACAGCAATATCCAGTGGGGTGAGAAAAACTGCTTAATCTAGTTGTTGCCCAGTCTAACAGGGTTGAGAGTTCAGGCTGCGTGCTTATATTTTATTTTATTTTGGTGACCACTGTGACTTGTTGTGCTTTGGCTTATAATCACTTAAAATCCATATTTATAGTTAATAAATCTATTTGTTTATTCTACCTGAAGCAGTGTGTTTGATTTGAAGTGTGTCAGAGACTCCCCTTGGGATAACAAGCCTGGTATATATCAATTTCTTTGTTAAATTGATGAACTTATATAAGCTTGCAGCGTCCAGTGGGTATAACTGGACACTGCAAGACAGAGGTTTCTAGGTTTGTGTCTGGGACCGGAGACATTGGCTAGTGTCATTCGGTTACAAGCAGCTGGGAGCAGCTTACATGCCAGAGGCTGTGCGGGAACAGTCCAGGAGTGGGGGTTCTCACAGCAGAGCAGGGTAAGACTGGCTCCCAGAGTCAAGGATTGGAGTGGCCTAGCAGATCACCGGTCCAGATAACACAGAGCGGAGCGTCACACATGTCCAGAGAGGTGGCTGATAATGGATGTCTATTACTACAGATATGTGTTGTAATGGACAAGATGGTGTGATTGATGAGAGGTAAGAATAATCCAGATATGTTCTGTTGTAGATAAGGGATATTTGTTATTGTAGATATTTTCTGTGATTTACAAAATAATGACCTATTCAAAGATGTTTGTAACTCATTAAGAGTTGCTAGTTGCGACAGATGACCTTAATAATAATAATGACTGGGTTAGAAGTCCCTTTAGCTTGTCAGCCATATAAACTGAGATACCATAAAAGAAGATCCATAAGTAATTAGATAAATTGAACTATTGAAAACATAGTGGGATCAATTGGAGAAAGTACTTTCTTTT